TGCTAAATACCATTTCAATACAGTGTTGCTGTGTATACATTGACAATTTGGTAAATAACTCTACTTCCTCTACTAACAAAGAAAAGAGAAAAGCAGACTGTATATTAAATGTGATATAAACCTGCCTGGAGAGCAAAATAGTTGTCTTCAGGCTGAGGACAATTATCAGAATATTGATATAACTTCCAATGATATCACGGTTTTGTTTGTACTTTATCAGATCAAACCTCTTACGGCTATTAAAGTATATACATTCTTTTCAGTAAGACCGGATATTTCTTTATTCCACGCCTTTAACAAGTACAGTTGTCAGCAGTCAGGGCTGCCTACATACTGAGCAATCGATTCCGTTGGAATTTAAGCTGTAAGAACTTCAAAAAGCGTTAGGGCTTTTCCTCCTCATTCAGAAACGGTTAAATTGCACTTCAGAGCTCTGATCAATTAACTACTTGGCTGTTGATGATTTCATTCTAGTTTTATTTCGGTCAAACATCTTACAAACATTGAACTAATTACATTTTCAGTGACAGTGAGACCGGATATTTCTCCACGGTCACGCATGTAAAACGTACACTCGTCCAAAATGTCTACAGAGCGATTGATTCTGTTGGAATTCAAGTTGTTTGTAAGAACTTCGGGCAGAATGTCTTCGAGCCCTTTCTTTCATTTCTAAACTGTCTAAAGACGTTTCAGACCTTAAATCAGTATTACTTGACTGTTTCAGAAACTCGTGCTTTAGGTGTCAAGTTCACCAAACATCACACACAGTTCATCACAAGTTAAACTGCCCAGTTTCATATCAGATTGTGCTTACCATCAACCAAAATTATAGCACAACTCATTCAAGGAACACTGTCCTTAACGCCTGCTAGTGATTTGGTCTCCTCCCACGACTTGATTTTACGAGAAACTGCCTGCAAGTAAGTTTCAGCTTATCGTTGACTTAATCCCGTCAAATTATTCAATTTTGAAAGTTCAAAAGAGTTACATCCAACTTGGATTAAAGAGAAAAAATGCTATGTAATATTTAGTTTTCCATTGATGACCCCGACATCCGCATAATACATTTTAATGCGAAGAATGGAATTTTAATTAGAATTCTTTTGTTATGATTACAAAACACAGGAACCTTTCGGCTTCAGCTGCAAGCCACGAGAGTCTTGAGAACAAAACTTAATGGGCTCTTTGCAGGACTTAATCACGTGCTTGCATACCACATAGCAACGCATTGCTGGTGAGCAAGCTAACCAGCGTCCCACTCATTGTGGTGATCAACTCAAACGAAACGATCTTTGACTTCTTGGTCGCAAAAATTCCAAACATTTGTTGTTTAAGGACTAAAAACGAAATTTATTGTGACTTTTGTTTCATCGTGCGTGAATTCTGCATGATTAACCTTTACTCTGGGAGAAAAAGCCCGGCGAAAGCCCAAATATAAGGCAAGATATGGCCGCTTCTCACTAACGACTAAATACAGGAATGGCTCCGATCTGTGATTGGATGATTTAAATAGTAAAAGTTAATAAGTTATATCTTAACTCCTTGCTCGTGAGTATTGATAACCGCGTGTCTCGAAGCAGAACAATGAAATATCAATGTGAAAACACTGATGTGTCAAACAAGAAATGGCTACTTACATAACGAAGAGAAGGCAGAGTCTATCTTGTTCAGCGAGGTCGTTCAGCGATATTCCGGCGATGAAAAAGTTATCCGCTGCCAAGCTCCGCTGACAAAACTCATTCAGTCAAGTTAGGCGGACGGTCAGAGACTGGAACCATTCCTGTATTTCACCGCTGACAGGAATGGCTCCAACTCATGCGTATATTAATTTTTTTTTCGTTCTGGCTAAATAATTTATACAATGAGATAAAAAGAGAAAGAGCGATTTATTAGGTTCTTATGTTGAAGTCAACGGTGCTTGCAAACGAAACCTTTTATTAATACAGGGCCATGTAGTTTCTAAGTTTTAAAATAATGCAGCAACTGCATGTCACGTTTGGAAAATCACGCAATGTTGCGTGACGCTGCGACCGATGTTTTTAATTTACGGCATGCCCTGCTGGAGAACTATGGCTTGGCCGCAATCGAGGGAGTTTTTTTTCGTGGAGAACTGATTTTCTAGGTAATTGTTCACACGAAGAACAAATCCATTCATCGGGCTCTTCATCTGTTTTTGCACAACACCTAAAGGAAGAAAGTCGCGGATTAATTTTGCTTGGTGATTTCTAACAACTCCACTAAACCTAAAAAAGGACAAAAACAAAACAAACAAACAAAAAAAACATCATACTAGTCAAAACATTGACAGTAGTTCTCGTGTAGCCGTACCCTCACCCCCGAGGTGAAACGGAAGCGAGGGAATTCGCCTCCGTTTCACCCCGGCGGGGGGAGGGTACGGCTACACGTAGGCTACGTAGGATGGTGAAATATGATGTCAACCTATTAGATGAAATTCCTGTCGTATATTAATTTTTCAAATTATTATGTTAGAACAAGATTATTGACAATATATTCCATTATTCCAGTCCAATATGGCAAAAGAATTAGTTCTCGAGAATCTTTTTTTGTACAGAAGAAAATGACCAAGTACACTGTGTAGGAAAATCACCGTTTCTAGGTACAATTTCCACGCCAAACGATATCCTGAGATCCTCTTGCTTATAACGTAGAGAGAATATCTTAAACGCCCCCTGTTTTCTCCTCATATACGAACGCGGCGTTCTTTCTTGTCGTGATGTTCTTGTTGATTGTAACTGCTCTAAATGAGTAGTTGTTTTAAGTAAATTGTCTGTATCTTCTAGTTCCTCAACAATAACAAGAGGAAATCATGTCTGAACGCGGCACAGAGTTTTAAAGTTAGGAAAAGGAGGCGCCAAGCGTCATCGAAATTTTACGAGACAACAACAGCTCGCCGAGGGCTAATTTACTAAAAGACCGGCGGAGTCCTTTAAGTTTACTTGGAAATGTTATCCGTGATTCTGCGACCTACACCGAACGTGCTAAAGGAAAAAAAAGTTATCGTTGTGGATTTGATCTATGCCATACAACGCCAAGGCCATAACCTTTACAGTTTTGCGGGTGGAATCACAAAAACCTGAAAGAACTGATCAACGGCTCCTTTAGGAGACACCACTTACAGTATAGGTATGGCAAAAGTCAAAGTGTGATTTTATTTTGTTTTAGAACCACACACAATTACACAGTTCTCAACTTTGGTCCTAATCATTATTTTGGCGCCAATGTAAAACATTTCGAGTTGTTTGCCATTGTAGGATGACATGGACAGGAAAAGATTGGAGAGCGTTTAAAACCAAGATTGTTATTGGCGATCGCACCTTTCAAAGGAAAATGCGTCTCTTTGTCTCGATATGTGGGAAGGCCATTCTCTCCTCTAAATCTCAGTTTGACCCAGTAAAAGGACATACACAACCCATGGGTGCGGCTCGCTTCAAGCCAAGCGCTCAGTTTATTCTCTGAAAGGACTACAGGATATATGACGTATCAGAAAAAAAAGAAATACAATCCATGCATGTTAAGTTTAGCTCCAAAGATCCAAATCACAAGCTGACTGATATGCGGTTGTGGAACAACAGCTGGGTGAAAAACCTCCCCGTACGTCCAGTTACACCTAGGAGGAAAACCCCAGGCCAGCTGTACACCATATACAACGATCACCAGGGCAAGACCAGGTAAATAGATGCTAGAATAAATTAAAAAGCGGTACACACCAGAAAACTAAATACCTTAAACTTAAGAAACCGACAAACGTGAAGATAAAGAATCTTGAAAATACCCGTCCTTAGCCGATTCACGAGCCCAGCGGCCATAACGCTTAAAAAAACGGTCTGGCACGCCATCATTTGCTGTAGCAATAGCCCTGCCACTCTTGAGACTATGCGTACCAATGGCAGAAATATCCAGTACAATATCTTTAAAAGCCTCTAGCATTAATCCTCTTACCTGCGAATAGCTTAAACCTTTAGCTCTTGGCCTATAACCACATTAGGTTTTGACAAGCTAGCAAAGCAAAGGGCTGTCGCAGGAAAGCTCAGCTCTTTGTAAATAAAGGTTCATCATAACAACCGGACAAGTTGCTTTCCCAGAGGAAGCTAAAACAATCCAAGCTCCCCCCTGTACTGATCAGTTTCAGTTGATTGAATAAATAACTTTAATATCATTGTCGATTTTAACATCGGATCGAACAAGGTTAGCAAGCTCATCAAATCTGAGAAAGGCAGCAAAAGCTAGCACGTATATAACAACCCAAAAAATTTTTATACAAAGGGGCCATCGAGTCCGCTTTGCAGGCAACTAACTGTTCTCACTGAATGATTCGATAGACTCCTGAAAGACAAAACCTGTCCACCCAAATTTATACCCTCGCTAATCACCCACAGCCTCCACTTCGTTCTGAAGTATTGGATCTATTATCTACATCGGGAGACCGTGATGTTTGGTATTGGACCAATCCCTATTACACATTTGTTTCCACGTTCCACACAGATGATCCAGGTGCGGACCCCTGAAGATGGAATGAGGTAATGCGAAGTGCAGCAGAGGGACGGCTGAAAGAGTACAGTAAACTATGCGCGCTCATGTGAGAAAGGAAACCAACATTGTTTTTTATCATGAAATACAAGTAAAGAGTAAGTAATCACGTTTACGCGTAAAACACGG